TTACCATTACTTGCTCTTCTGCTGCTTCTTTTGCTCGATGTACTTGGCGTTTCGGGCGGTCAGCTTGCGAGGGTGGCTGTTTCTTTATTTACTCTTGGGGTACCAGTCAGGGCCCATCACCTTCTTGACGTTTGCCAGGCTTTCCTGGCGGCGCACATCGGCCGAATCAGGTGGTGGGGGCTATTCCTCCCAGAACCCAACCGCTTTTGGGCCGTTCTTGCCGGCAATACAGCGCCGCACGATGTCCCGCCCGCTGATTGTACGGAATGCGTAGCCGTACTGCAGCTTCCCGCAGCAGACGCAGCGCGCCCGTGCATCCGTCGTAGACCGCTGCGGGCTCAGCAGAAGCGGGTCAAATTTCGCCTCGCATTGCTTGCACGTAGGGCCCACCATTTTGCAAACTGTGAGTATGTTTGCAAATTATATTGTTTTAACCAATTACTTGCGTCCAAATATTAGCCAATAGCACGGTACTGTAAGGCTGGTATTTATTATTAGGCAAAACAGTAAAATGTTTTAAAATATTACTATTTGGCTTTGTTATAATAATACTTTTATCACATTTCCAAACAAATACATACTTTACATGCAATATAAATTGACTAAAACAACTATCTATCGTGCGCGCATGCATTCGTCGGGTGGGGTGCACGGGAGCAGATAGCACAATTACCGTGCCGCCGCGCGCCTTCATTGCACGGTGGCAGTGGTGAGTGCCAGGTGAAGTAAAATATATATATTCGCAAGGTCCCTACAAAAAGCGCTGGTCGTGAAGCCTACTTTAATATTAAAAAATACTATTGTCTCTACTTTAGAAAGTGTGTGGAAAATAGCATCGCCGAGCTCTTACAAATGCGGCCTGTGAAGCTTATATTAAGCATATTAGTACTATTAATATCGTCATTACTTTGAAAAGTGTGTGGAAAATAACATCCCAGAGCTCTTACAAAATACTGGTCTGTGAAGTCTACATTAATAATGATAAATATCTCTATTTGAGAAGTGTGCAGAGCTCTTAGAAAATAAAGTGGTTACTGTGCCCGATTTGCAGTACATACGACAGGTTTTGCGCAATAATCAAGTATCTGCTGGCTGTTTGCAGCCAATCGATGCGTTTCGTGCTCAGCAGAAATGTTTAACTTACGTCCAATCGCGAATGCGAGAGGCGGTCTGATCGTGCGACAGATCCAGTCAGTGTCGCAGGTCGGCAGGTATTGCCCAATCAGGGCGCGAGTTAATTGTGTCACGCTTTTGGATATAATTGTAATTTTAGCATAGTTAGGTCGAGTCAGAAAGGTAGGCGCGGTCGGTAGGATAGGAGGAAACTGTATAAGACAGGCCGAGTGTAGCCATGCGAAAAGGCAGGAAAAAGCAGCAAGACGGGGAATGCGACGGACTGACGGACGGACAGACCGACAGGTTACAAGGTTAGAAGCGGGGAGACTAGCGCTCTGGGCGCCCGCTCCGCGGACGCTAGGGCATGGTTGGTTGGTGTAGTGTGGGCTGACCACCTCCGCTGCGCTGCGGTGTGCTTAGCGTTTCTACGTACAGCAAAGTAACATATAGTACATGTATACTGTGTTCTACTTATATTACGCTCCAAAACAACACCGCACACAGTATGCTGAGTGCTCACATGTTATGGTAGATATGACCAGGGTTTAACATGATCTGCAAGATGAGCACCATCTTACCCGGGAAGGTTTTGTCTATAATCGCATTTGAGCGCATAGCTCCTAAAATGACACGAATCGGAGGCGTGCGTGGCTGCAAAGCTAACAAATGCTGTTCAGAAGACATGTTAGTATCAGTGATGATTCAAATTGGCATAGACTGGTGAGGAATCACGGTTTAGCTGGAGTAAATACGCCTTCTCACACATATTACCCATCTGCACGTCATCGCCGTGAGGCAGTCGACACATATCATCGATTGCGACAGTCGAATAGAGAAATGTTAATCAGCTCCTCGCGCGAAGTATCTTTTAGGATAGGTAGTATTTGCTGATGGTCGCCACAAATCTCAATAATATGCTTTGAAATTATTCTGCTGAGCTGTTTGTGATGTTACTGAAGGGTATTTCCACTATCTTCCGCATGCATTGATCTTACTTGCATAGCTGACGTACTTTCTGACTTATTTGCATAGCTACTGACTGACAGAGTGGCGTAAATCCTTTCCAACTGACATTATACTGGGTCCGATATGTACGACAAACATACGAAGAAATATGGCTGCAGGCAGAGTATCAGATCGCAGTGATCGTTAAACTTGAATTGAAAAATAGTTCATGTACATTAGATGGAGTACTTTCGCTGCCTACTTATCAGCTCGGCGTGCTATTTGATGTGTCCGTGCATATATCGCAAGGTCGTTGATGAGTGTATTTGCCACGCGCTCGTGATAGCCCCACCTATGTATGGGGTCACTGTTTCTTTATCGGGACTTTTGCGTCGTCGTGCTAGCTTTCTGTGCTTACGCTATTGATGTTTTAGTCTGTATAATCAAGCGCGTCACTAACTGGGCACAGGCCATTCCGCAGCGATACAGGTATGCTGAACGCGCGTCTCTTAGCAGTAGCCAACGCGATATATACGCGCGAGGCGGGTACACCTTATAGTCATCCGCGACTCAACCGAGCTCTCATCTCGGCCATTATGAACAGGACACTAAAGTACAATATTGCGTTCAGACACATCGACTTGCCACGTTCATCTGTACGGTCTGCACTGTCACGCAGTGGTAGTATCTATGTCAACAGCAGCTTATTCGTCGCACGTAGCTCCCACTCAATACTGAAGCTTACATTTGTGAGCGCCAATTAGTGAAATATCCGCTATAAGAGCTGATGGTACAGATGGCATGGATTTGCGTCTGCCCACGTGAGCGAGTGTACGTGCCATCTACGGTGACGCGTATGCGGATAGGAACCACCAACTTGCAGCGGTGCACAGTTGATTCCATGTGCTAATTATTATATGAAACGCTCTACGCTCTATAGGTGCGTCAACACTATTGGCAGCGCCATAGTCAGTTTACCGTATGTGCGTCTCCAAGCCTCGTACCGTCAGCCAGTATACAAATTACAAAAATAGGTAGGAAAATGTGAGTAAGTTAGTAACATATACTGTTTTAACCAATTACTTGCGTCCAAATATTAGCCAATAGCACGGTACTGTAAGGCTGGTATTATTGTTAGACAAAATATTAAAATGATTTAACATATTACTATTTGGTTTTGCTATAATAGTACTTTTATCATAATTTTAAACAAATACATACTTTACACGAAATAAAAGTGACTAAAAGACTATGTACTGGCGCGCATGCATTCGTCGAGTGCGGTGCACGGGAGCAGATACCGCAGTGACCGTGCAGCCGCGCGCCTTCATTGCACGGTGGCAGTGGTGAGTGTCAGTGAAGTAAAAAAGATATATATCCCTACAAAAAGCGCTGGTCGTGAAGCCTACTTTAATATTAAAAAAATACTATCGTCTCTACTTTAGAAAGTGTGTGGAAAACCGCATCGCCGAGCTCTTACAAATGCGGCCTGTGAAGCTTATATTAGTAATATTAATACTATTAATAGCGTCTTTACTTTGAAAAGTGTGTGAAAAATAACATCCCTGAGCTCTTACAAAATACTGGTCTGTGAAGTCTACATTAATAATAATAAAAATCTCTATTTTAGAAGGGTGCAGAGCTCTTAGAAAATAAAGTGGTTACTGTGCCCGATTTGCAGTACATACGACAGGTTTTGCGAGCTAAATGTCAATAATCAATCATCTACGCAGCTCGCCTGGCTGTTTGCAACCAATCGATGCGTTTCGTGCTCGGCAGAAATGTTTACCTTACGTCCAATCGCGAGGGCGATAGACGGTCTGATCGTGCGACAGATCCAGTCAGTGTCGCAGGTCAGCAGGTATTGACCAATCAGGGCGCGAGTTAATTGCGTCACGCTTTTGGATATATTTGTAATTTTGGCATAGTTAAGTCGAGTCAGAAAGGTAGGCGCGGTCGGAAAGATGGGAGGAAACTCTATTGGAAAGGCCGGGTGTAGCCATGCGAAAAGGCAGGAAAACGCAGCAAGAAAGGAACCGGACGGACTTATTGACAGACGGACGGACACGCTACAAGTTTAGGGGGCGGGAAATTTACGATGTAAAGTTTACATATCCTATCGGCACTTGTTTACATGCATGTATTCACGCTCGGCGCTCGGTTGATTTGTCCACCAATTATTAATAACTGGTGGCAATGGCACTCTAATATGACACCAGTATTAAAAGCCACCGGCGAGTATGGCCGGCAAACTCTTCCACTGCACACTGCGGAGCGTTACCTCTTCTGGTACTTTCGGTACAAAGCAGGCTTGAAAAAAGTAATGGCTCATTACTTGTATTTATTGCTACAGTAGTATTAAAATACACATGTACTGTACAGCTTTCAGCGCGCAGGCGTGTTTTAACTGCAGCTTACTTATTGCCTTGCGCAGGGCAAGGCATGGATACTGTAGCTTGCATTCCAGCCTGCACGTTCGAACTTCGACACGAAATTGGTGCAGTAACAGTACAGTACTCCTATCGAATCGGCTCGCACGGATAAACTAAATTCGCTCAAATCTACATGTACTACCGGATACAGAAGTGCACCACACCCTTGTCGACAGAAGTTGAGTGAAGCGTTCGTGGCGTCTTTGACAGCAAGCAGTACAGATGGAACCCGAGTACTGCAGCATGACATGAATAATGATCAAAGATAAATGTTGAAAGGCATCATGTATTTGTCGTAGTGAATACAGTTTCTTTAATTTCTTAAATTCTCCTCAATCGGAGCAATAAATACGTCAAGAGCGCACGGAGGCTTTCAAGACTGAGGACTGATAAGACCATCCACGGCTCGCCTCATGGTGGTGCTCTCGGATAAACTATTTCTTCACACGTGAGATGTCGTTGTGCCTGCTTGGTCTCTCACTCGGACCGAAGCAATTGACGAAGCTTTTAATACAGCAACACCTTTTGTCTCGTAGAGCTGCACAAGCCGTTGCATCGAGACGACTGCGACGATTCCAGTCTCTTCTCCGTCACCTTGTCCAAACGCGAGAGCAATCGCGAGTCTAACGTCGCTCGCACGTCGCGGCAGATCAGTGCAATGTCTTCCATTGGGAATGCATGGTCCTCCGCCAGGGTACGCGCGCGGTCCATTGGGTCCAGCCACAGGTCGTTGCGGCTGCGGCGGCCACAGCCTGTGGACAGCGGGATCGTCTCTAGCAACAGCATCTCGGCGTCCGAGTCCGAGTCCTCACACTCGCTGTCGGTGCTCTCCACGTCGTCTTCCGAGGGGATCATCGAGTACGAGTGTCGCGTCGGTCGACCGATCAGACCCACGGGCGGACCGCCGCTTTCCGGTACGGCGCTGGCGTTGTAGCCCACGCGGAATTCCAGAACACTCACGGTGCCCCACCGCACCTGTTTCTTTATCTCATCCAGCTTCATGTTCTGGTCTGCTGTCTCCATATCTGTGTCTGTCTGCAATATGTCGTTGCCACCTTAAAGCGACGACGAGTTGCCTCGGTGGCGGGGAAATCGATAGTGAGGGCTGGAACGGAATTGCGCACGACGCTCGGCCACTGGCCAGAGAGCGGCGTCAAGTCAGCAAGAGGATGGGCGGCAGACGAACCCGATCAGAGCAGAAACGCGCTGAAAGGCAGTTGCGACGAGCGCAACAACTTGGTTGCAGAGAATTTCGGTGGCAAGAATGGTGACTTGGTCGGTGGTGCCACCGGATGCTTCAAGAGCGCCTGGAATTTGCTGCGAGTGACGCAACATTCGAAGATACTAGTATTAGGCTTTGTGGCCTCACCGTAGGAAACTTTCGAAGCAGTGGAGCGGCTCCAGACGACAGGCAGCCTCGAACGTTTGATTCACACGGATGGAACCGACCGACCCAATCGCCCGCTGATTTATCCGTCAAGCACATGCGGCTGTCCGGCCCGGATATCGTACCCGGAAACCGGGTACGATTTGAAGCGACGGCTGCAATGAAACGCGGACAGTCTACATGTAAGGTGTGGCACGCTTATGTAGCTGTCATCCATGCCTGTCCGAATCGAAATGACCTTACGTCATGAATTTGTGTGACGCTAGCAGGCGGGCACGCGTGCGTGTCAATGCTCACGATTTGTGGCGGTAGCCAACCCAGGCTACAGTACGCGTTGGCGCTCAGACAATCCCCTCAGATCGTCGAGAGACCCCGTTTTATGCTTATATAAGGAATTCAAATGTTGTGATAATGGATCATAGTTTACGATAAACTCAGAGCTCCGTAAGCACTACCAAGTATATATATCAGCTTATTCCTCGCACTTACTCTCCATCGCATGCAGTGACCCGCATCACTTCACAAACTTGTTGTAGTCTGGGTTGTCAGGAAGAACGTACTGGTGCATTGTTAAAGTTTTTGATTATCTTCGGATGTCGTGTAAGCAGCAGCTAGAGGATTGCCAGCAGCACAACATGCACTTGTATTAATAGTTTGGAATGATCTGGATTTCTTCCGGTGTTCTGTAGAATAGGAACTTTCTCATGGTTAAGTACCTCAAAAAAGGAATTTAGAAATGCCTGCAGCTGAATTCATTTTTACAACTGAGGGTGAGTCATACTTATCGGTATTGAGGGTGTATTCCAGTGCTGGGATTACTACCGAGAGATTGTCTGTACGGCAGTGAATGAACAGATTTATGAGAAGCGAGCGTCTCCGGTGTGAACAATGCTCAGAATACAGTACAGATGGACCCTTCGGTAGTCATAGCGTGGGGAACCAACATTGTATGCCAATCTGATGGTATTCTTGTTGTGGGGTGGCTCAGCCAAGTGTACCTTTGAAATGGTACAGGAGCCAACCGAACATTACCATCCATTTCATTCCTTGCATTTGCGGTCCTTCCGGAGTCTCTCTCATTCTTTAATTTTCCAAGCTAACGTTAGTACCCCCAATATGCCAGCTGAACATAAGTCAGCTAGCACCATGCTCATCAATTGGTGCCCGCGAGGATACTAGATGCGCAGCAGATAATAATGATATAGAGCTCGATTCTGTGGATATTAAAAGGCACCTCAAGTGGATTGCAAAGCTGCTTATTCGAGCAGATTCAACAGGCGTGTCGGATAGGTGTGTACAGGTGCTTAGAACGATGAAGGGACAGCTTCGACACGAGCTAAGCAGGAAGGAAGGGTGCAACCAGCAAGTGTCCTTGCTTGCCTACTTTGGATGTGCTGCACAATGGTGATTCGTTTTAGTTAAGCACCCCAGAACAGTCATTTTTCGTAATTTTGAATTCCATATTCCGATGGAGGGGTGAGAGGTATTTTAATCTTAGGCTTGTAGACTGCACGACTTCGAGGACCGACATTTTATTCTTGTTGGAGGGTATTCCATGCACTGAGCTGAAAACCGCTCTTGCAGCTGCAGCCGCGAAAGCGAGCAAGTCAATGCAACGTACCGGTACATTGTTTATCATCAGAGCCGTGAACATTGTGTCCAACGAATGCACCAACGAATGCCGATTTGAAGTCTCCATATACCGCACAAGTACAGTGCAATTTAGGGAAGCACGTTAGACTAGACTATAGCATATTCCTCGTTTGTTACAGCTCAGCATTGTACATGTGAGTGTCGATGGGTTGACTCTTGGCCGTTGACTAAGGTTGTTATCCATACGAAATGCTGGCTGCGTATTTATTTGCGCGGCGCATGCCTTTGTTACCATCAATGTGTCAAATGGATCTTTGGCCGTGCCACCGACTGTACATGCTGCTGGCCGAGCAGGTCCGGGTGTCCAGCTGACTCCGACGAAGCTCGATGCGTCTGCCTGACTTGCGTGCGCGTGGACATCGGCGGGCCAACACTGGTCCCACCTTTTGGCGATTCAGAGTCGCCACTGTTTGCGGGCAACTGGCGAGTTTATGCCTGCTCTCACAGCTCGCAGCTTTGGTTGCGGTGGCGCTTGTTATCAATCGCGCCGACCGATCGATGTACAGTTTAAGCCTCATGGTAGCTCTCGCAGCGAATCTACGACGGTGGCGGAATCTGGAAGCCCGCGCAAGTTGCAGCGACAGCGCGACAATCTACAATGTACAATGTGCAGTGCTTAATACATGCAGCTTACGTTTAAGTCTGCCCGTATGCATAGGAAACTCTCACAATGCTAAACTCGTTGGCAAATAGTTACATACCAATCGTCCGTTTCGACGGAAGGACTCCACGTCTGTTGCTTTATTTAGCTGACCTCGCTCCAGAACTCATCCGAGCCCGAGGCCACTTGTCCAACAATTCCGTCGATATGGCGTCGACTGCCAACCTACCGGATGTTCCAGCGAGCTCTGGAGATTCTTCAGCGCCAATCGCAATTTGCAACCCGTCACCATCACCGTCGCCTACCAAGTCCAAGCTGTTGCCTTCACCAAGTGTTGCTGACATTTTGGCGCATGACGGAAGTGTGGACGTTCGACTACTGATGATTTCCCTGTGGAAACATCGAGCCAATGCCGAGTTCACATCGGAACTTTGCCAGCGTCTGTGCTCAATACCAATCACCCAACCAATGTTGGACCAAGTAGAATTCTACCTGCCACAGTTAGCGCACATGGTGGTACACCTCGAACGAGAACTACCCATGGAAGACATGGAGCAATTTGTACTACTTCTCTCGCAGAGTAGCGTGCATTTCGCTCTACAATTCTTCTGGATGATTTACGCGGCGCTGGACGAGAATCGCCCAAAGCGTGCGGGTAATAACCCTCAGACCTTTGCTCGCTGTGCGAGACTGTTGCTCGCACTCGAGCAATGCTTCGTGTACGGCTCTCCGGCTGCTCGACAGGCCTCGGAATTGCTAACACGGCAAAGTATCTCCCGGGACGAGATGGAGCAGATTCTCTTGGCCGATCGTCGCTTTTTCGCAGCTCAACAGAGTAGCTCAGACTCTACTAGCATTGGTGGAGGGGTAGAGGATGTAGCTCCAATCTCAGGTGGTTGGTTACTTAAGAAAGGAGGTGGTACTCGAACTATGGGTCGACGCAACTGGACGATGCGATGGTGTCGTATCGAGAAGCGCATCTTGCTGGTATTTACAAAACCCGCAGATTCTCAGCCTCGCGCAGCCATCCCACTGCATGGCGCCAAAGTGCACGTAGTGGAGAATAAGCGTCCGTTTTACTTCGAAATCGCCCACGATTTTAGCGAGACCAAGGCGAAATTTGCTGCAAAAACTGCGGATGATTTATCCACGTGGGTCGCGTATATCCAAAAGACCGCTGCGTTACCAGACCCCCCAGCTGGCAGTCCAACCAAAGGAAGTTGCAGTCCTGAACGAACACTGGCACGTATGTCGTTCGCCATGAGAACGTTTATCATGCAATCTTCCACTAATGTAACTAGCAATGCAATCGACAACGCTACACTTCCATCGGAAAGTGGCTCCCCTTCTAAAGCAGATGGTACGAGTCGTCCAGCAGAAATCATAGCTGATGTATTAGCTGCGAATATGCGAACTCGGATGCTAAGTAGTGGTGGCGTGAGCCAAGCGGGTGACACTGAAGTGAGTCAATATTCGACCACCGATTGCTGTGGCCCCGACGTGTTCATGCAGACGCTTATGCTGCCAGACCAGCAGCGACGGTATGAATTCTTTTGCAGCATGGTTCACTTTGTCAAGTCCATCACGGACATATCGGAGGCTCTTCGTCGAGTTGAACTTCCTAAACGCAAGGAGTTGCTAGGACCCCTTCTAAAACAGCTGCGAATACCCCATCGAGCATACATCCCGCTATGCAAGGCAACGGACGTAAGTGTCCTGTCCCTTTCTGGCCTTAACTTCACTAACCAGATTTTGCTTTCATCTTCTTTTTTCTGTGTTTTAGTCTTATTGCAATGTCGAGTCGGTATTCAGCGACGAAGGTCGCGTCTTCAGCACTCACGTAGGTTCTGTTTTTGCTGTTGTATTTGATGAAAATTTAACCAGCATATCCCTCTAGGAACGAGCACCGTGTTTGATCTACTTTGCCACTGAGGAAAGTGAAAGCGGTGAAGATGTCTCCACTGTTTTATTCAACGAATTGTACGAAACTCGGACCTCGGATGTCTGTGACATTGACGAAGACGATGAGATCGTGACAGCTTTTGATCAGCACGCCGCGGATATTGCGCTAAGACAAGCACGGACGTCACATGCATCTCGAGCTAAGCACATCTCCAGTCAGATGTCGTCTTTTCTCCGTGAACTGCTTTCGGTGAGCCGTCATTTATTTTCCTACTCCACTTTGTGCGTGACTAAACGTTTTTTAATCTGACTCACGGCAGGATGACGAACGCAAACAGCGCATCGAAAAAACATTCGGCGAACTGACCTTCACCACGGCAGAGCGTCTCCAGAAAACGATTCGATGTGAGAATCCGGAACGCTGGCGTCTCGCTGGTTTAATGTCCAAGAGCTTCGATGATCTCCGTCAAGAAGTTTTAGTGATGCAGCTCATCTCGTACTTCCAGCAGATTTTTGAATTGGAAAAGCTGCCACTGCGACTGCACCCGTATCGCATCCTGTCCACAGGTTCCACTACTGGTCTCATTGAAGTGGTTCGTAATGCGATGTCACTTGATGGGATCAAGAAGACCCCAGGCTTCAAGAACCTACGCAGCCACTTTGAACAGATGTATGGTGGAGCAACAAATAGTACTGAAGGTGGCGATAACGCCGGTGAGGGAGCTGAACTACTTCGACAGGCTAAACTCAACTTCATCCACAGTTTAGGTAGGGGTCTATTTTCCTGATTTGTGACGCATCAAATTCTAACAAACAGAACCTTGCTGCAGCTGCGTACTCGATCGTGTGCTACATTCTCGCTATCAAGGATCGACACAACGGCAACATTATGCTGGATATCGAAGGTTTCATTATTCACATTGACTTCGGCTTCTGTAAGTTCTTTTTTGTCATTATTCGAAGAAAGAGTTTATCGTTTACAGTTTTCTGTTGCTGTAGTCCTAGGCCGAGCCCCAGGAGGAAGCTTCAGCTTTGAGACGGCCCCATTCAAACTAACAGCCGAGATGGTGGACGTGCTTGGCGGCCGTCATTCCTCCAATTTCCAGTATTTTACAGACTTGTGTGTCCAAGGTGCTCTTGCAGCTCGAAAGCATGCCGAGACGATCTACACGCTAGTGGAAGTCATGAGCTACCACTCCAAGCTCCCGTGTTTCGTCGGAGGCGCAGCTGGTCCCTTATCGGGACTAAAAGACCGTCTATTCCTCAATATACCCGACAAGAAAGTGGCACCAACAATCCAAAGCATGGTGCAGCGAGCCTACGATCATTTCGGTACGAATAAGTACGATCAGTTCCAGACGTTCTCCAACGGAATCGCCAAGTAGATTTCAAATCTGCAAAAGCAAACGTAAAATACAAGCAGAATATTATAAGAAAAAAAACCAGCAGCATCAGTCCACGACTATATTTTAGCTTCCTGATTATCTTCGGCCTTCTTTTTGGTTCCGCCTACAGCAATAACAAACGTTAATTTGACAATGAATTCGATCGCACACATTTGTCTTAGCGTACCGAAAGCTCTCATGACCAAAAACTTACTGGAAGCATTGCGCTTGGTCGCCACTTTTCCAACGGTTCTAACTACTATTGCGTCCGAAAAAGTCTGCTGCCCGTCGTCAGCAATTGCGGCAGCACGTAGTTTGTACCGATGATCAGGAAGCAAGTTTTCCACTTTAGCCGAGCTATCGACACATCAAATTTTAGCAAATACTGCAATCCCCACAAATGTGTGGCCTACGTACTTGATAGTGTGGTCGTCAGTCCTAAAAACTAATTCCCAGTGGCAAGTCCCGTTTGGTTCGGGCGACGTCAGGTAGATGATGCAAGAAACTCCGTCGTTGTCTGCTAAAGTCCACGTCACAGTCATCTCGGTTGGACCGGTATCATTGACGAATAGTACAGGTGCCGCTGGTTTAGCTGCTCGTGAATATCGTTGCTGTCCTTAGGCCAGGATTTAGACTATATTAGTAAAAAAAGGGAAACTTACATCTTCTCGTCCTGGTGGGTTCAGATTCTGCGCCAAACTCACTCATACCGTGAAGATTAATTGCACAAATGGATGCAGAGTACTCGGTATCAGCGCAGAGTCCAGTTATCACCGTTTCAGTGGGAAACGCAACTGCCAGCACAAACTTTGCTGGGGCTGATGGCGAGGAAATCTTAATCTTGTACCCCGACACCGGGACAACCTCATCCAAGTTTGGTCGCGGTGGTGTCCTACTTACATAAAAACACCTTTCTTAGCGCTACTATCAGCAAATAGAGACACAGAAGACGAGCGAATCGTGCCATAAAATCTTCACTTCCGAATCAGTAAGCGGCTCAACCGTCGGTGCAGCGGGAATCGATGGGGCTGGAGGGTGACAGCGAAACAATTAGTTGACAAATATAAAATGTGAGTAGAACAAGACTTACGTTTGCCCGGTAGATTTCTAAACAGCTCCGTTATTGCCGGTGTAGTGCATACGTCCACCGGGGTTAGCCCGTTCTACCAAAAAAATGGGGATAAAAACACTGGCATCTACTTTACATGTACTGTACCCCACCCACCTTGTTCTCCGAAATGCGAAGTTCTGCTCCGTTCTGTTGCCAGCGAAAACTAACTGTGAGAAGACACGATAATAACGAAATAATTGGCCTACGACGCACCTGTAGCAGCAGCTCGACCACCCCCACGTGTCCTTGCTGGGCAGCGAAGAACACTGGAGTGCAGCCAGATCCGTTCGTGCCATTGATACTAGCTCCTTGTCGTATCTACGCAAGCACAACTTTCAGATTCGGCGAATGAGCTAGCCCTTAAGCATGATTTTTATTCACTAACCAGAATATCACAGATTGAGGTGTGCCCTTGGTAGGCTGCGTAGTGCAATGAGGAATTTTGGTTCTGGGTCAGCAGAAAATCGCCAATGTCATTACGGGACCTCCATCATTGTATTTGAGCTTATCTCACTCCATATTCAGAAGAATCTCGGTCATGCACAAGCTCCGAGCCGTCCTCTACTAGTCTTTCCACCACATCTGCGTAGCCATTCCAGCAAGCTGTGTGGATATCCACACGGAACCTTTGGCGCCCAAGATCTTTCAGTCTTGTCAGGACTTTTCCGACCTCCCCAGCTGCCTCGTGTCCTTCCGGCTGTCCTACCCACCACTCAGTGAACTCGTCTCTGTCGATCACACCGTTCCTATCTTGGTCAAGAATGTGAAGCGCTTTATGGAAGTCTCGCTCGGTCAGGACACCACCTAAATCCGAGACAAGGTGACGTAATTCTGCCGCATCAATCCACCCACTACTGTCTTCGTCATAGCACGCAAAAGCTGCACGAACAGTCTCGCGCAGCTCTCTATCGTCGGTCATTGTTGTACTGTGGCTAAAACCTACCTACTTCAAGTGTGTCTATTGTTGGTTAATGCAACTACTGTAATACTTACTTGGTAATATTCCACTTGTATAGGACAAACCGTAGTAGTATGAGCACGTATTTTCTATTCATCTACTAACAGTAAGTACTACTTTTATTACCAAACGACCCTCTCATCATTCTACCTCCTGACTCCAGAGATACCGAATGATTTCTCGCCGTTGTCCAGCATCCGACTGCAAATAGTCCTTTTGCACAGTTTTGTCCTTCATCAATAAAGTTAGCGCACTGCCAAACCGCAACAGGTACGGTTGAATCTCCACGTTCCACATTTTGTCGTCCCACGACACTTTGGTCATTTTGGTCTGCGCTTTGTCGGCATGCAAATGTTCCACCAATTCCCCTTCTGGCACGTCCAAAATGTACAGATACGTCTGCAACTGGGCAATGTCGTACTTAGGCAAAGGGTTCATGAACCTCTTGAGTCGATTCTTGACTTCAATCACCTTCCCGTCCGCTCGGCCGTCGATCTTGCCCCCCACTAGCAAGTTGTAGCCCCCTACAGTGGCTATTTTCTTTTTGGAGAAGACCAGATTTCTCTCTTTAACCACCACTTTGGTCTTTTCTTGATACTGCTCAATGCCCGCCGTCTCCTGCTTAACTCCAAAGCCCTTGTGCATTGTAGAGGTCACGAATTGCACCACTTCGGCCTTGACGTCGGCTGGGGTGGTGGACGGCAATGATGTCACCACTTTAGCTTGAGCTGTAGCCACCTGGTGGATAGTCTTGGCTTTAGAGGCCTCTTGAATCAGCTCGCTGATGGCTGGAGCGGCCCCCAAGTCCTGTACGATGGCCTGCATCTTCTCTTCGGGACTCGGAAGAGCTAGAGAAAGATGTTTCTGGAGAGAGGAGACCTGGCTAGGGTTCGTGCGGCGCCATACATCCAGGAATACGTCCTCAATCTTGCGGTATGGGTTCAGCGCGCTGATGACTGGCACTTCGCTGGCGAAGACCATGATGTTACGCCCCACCGCACGCTTGGTTGTCGCCAAGGTCATCTACAAATAAAATAATATCTACAAATAAAATGGAGTGGAAAACACAATTAGTACTGGAGTAATTGTGCTTTTTAAAGTACCTCATGACCGAATCCGTCTGAAACTGGCAGGAACGCGGAATAACCGGTATTGTGCATTCCGACCAAATTTGCCGTTTTGGTGCTATTTTGAAACGGCCTAGATCGTACTTGAGCGAGCTACGTTCATTCAAAGAACCACGCACAGAATTTTTGAGTTGAACTCACGGCGGACGAATCTACAGTACTTGATTTTGCTACCAATACCCAAGTACTGTAGTCTTTACTAGACATCATGTTGTCGTATCATAGAGAGTCTCTCTCTTATTAGAGACGTAACAACCTTTTCTTGCGAATATTTATTTCGAGTTTTTGTCTTTTCTTGCTTTTCTTACAGAGGGATTACGACTCTACATGTATATTTTCATAAGCTCGAGCAAATGCTTAAGTATTAAGGGCATCTCGAGCCACCAGCACTTGGCTTTCAAGTGGTTTAAAGAAGCAAGTTGGACGGCACTGTCAGTTGCTCCCACCATACAGCAAATTGAGTCCACTGAATCATCAAGTACTCTGCGTGCAGTTTGCTCTCACAACTAGCCCAGTGATCACAGGCCACCTTAATCGAGTTTTCGTCCATCTCCGTGACAGATACCTGGATGCCTCCCTCGGTTGCCCACTCGACGTTATCTTGCATCTCAGCGTCGCGACTTCGTCTATTCGCATCGGAATCGATAATCGCCAAGCTTGCTGTCAGCTTCCGTCTCCCGTCGGCCAGTTCCCACTGAGCTCTCCGCACTTGAAACAAATAGCGGATGCGCTTCTCTGGTCCAGGGATGTCGCGAGCAAAAACGAGTGTATCTTGGTCAAAGTCTTGTAGTACGTGGGTACTCGCTTTCCCTCGCTGGTGGAGCCCCCACCCGATCGGTGTGACGATCATGGGGCTGAGGTCTTTCTGCTTCGTATACGACATTTGTGTGTGTACGTCCAACGAGCATCTCAGACGTTTGGTAACTCGTGTGCGAGCCACCAACCGCGTACCGTCCAGCGTTGAAGCAATCAACGGAGCGTGATACACTCCCCAACCGAGGAACGTCCCAGCAAGCGACAGAGATGGCATCCCACCCGCTAACTCAACCTCAAACCTCCGCATCTCAGCGTCAACCTCGTCACGCGTGAACGGGTGGAAGTAAAACGACGTGTCTCCTTCACCCACGCGCCAGCCAGTCTCGTCACTTGGGAGTAGGTTCGACTCCTCTCCCTCCGTCGAATCTTCACTCGCTTCTAGTACAACAGCCGTAAACTTCTCGCACCGTGTGACCTCCTCTCTCAACGCCAGGTTCTGGGTACGGAGCGCTTCTCTCTTGACTACCAGTTCCTGGAGCGTGTGTGTCACGCTGTCACTGTTGCTACAAGCCACAGCAGTTCTTACAGTTTCCGCAAGAGTCTTCATCTCACGCTCCAGTCGTTCATGCTCGGCTACCAGCCTCTTCTGCTTCTCCTTCTTGTTAAGACGGAACTCGATCATCGCTTTGCTTTCTTTTGTGTCTTTTTTGGGTCTTCGAATGCGCCCTCGAGTGTCGCGTCCAGTGCAACATCGCACGGAGATGCGTCTCCCAGTAGGTCCATAAAGTCACTGGCCGAGAGGGGGCTCTCTGTCATCGTTCGTTGACAGTGGTGGTCGTTCTACAGTAGAGTTAGCTACGATGACTTAGCTAGACTGATGAAGCGACTGTGACGTGAGCTCTAGAACTGAACTCAAAACGCCTGCTGCTCCCGATTAAATGGTACAGTACTGTAGTACTGAGGCCGGGAATAAAGTGGAAACAATTCCGGATAAAATAAAGTGGACGATCCGGTATTACATGTATCCTTCTCCGATAGCCAAAATAAATTGGTTGGATTTGAGTTAGTCAAAAGCAGTATTTTTCTTTCTGATTGAAAAATACCTTCTTAAAAGTATTTTCAACAAGGGCTATCTGTAAAATACTTGCACTATTAAAATTGTACCTTCTCATGTACTATATCCACAAATAAGCTTTCATTTTCCGAAAAATGTCCTCCTCGTGTTCTATACCCACGGCAAAAGGTTTCTGACATACATATTGTGGGACAAAACACACTTGTTGTAGCTCAAATACGCTCGGCGAAGTAACCAGCAAGCAAAGGGAAAATATGAAGACCAAATTACTTGGTGTCAGTTGCTCTGCTTCCTAAGCATTTACCAACACTCATGGGCCTTTGCCCTCTCTCATATAACGACCTGGTTTATTTGCTGCTCCAGCTTTCTTTAATCTGTGTAACGGGCCTGAGGTGTCCGTTACTTGCTTACACGTAGTGATGAGGAAGCGTACAAGTCCAGTGATACTGAAACCAAGTACTTAGTCTGAAGGAAATTCAACTCTGTTTTTATTTAGGTCCAGGGCGGCTTGCCCTACCCACTCAAATACACGTCAACTCCTTATTGGTTGATTATGGGTCTGGCTCCCCATATTTCAACCAATAAGATGACGGCAGTTCAGCACACGCTACTCGTGTGCTGCTGCACCTACTTTTGTAATGCAAATCTACCTACTTATGTAATGGTGTGAACCACTACAAAGAACCTATAAAACTACCTACATATGTAACTTGGGGGGGCCCATTACAATCTGCGCCAGGCCTCGATGCACAATCCAATACGCCCTTCGCGAAGATCGGTCTTCGAGGTCGAATACTGGTCTTCGACTACTTTTTTGCTCCAATGCCTACAATCAGCAGCAGCTCTTTCAGTCGCTTCTTGTCCAGAGGCTTGGTGAACGTGTCGGCAGGGTTTGTTTTACCTTTCACCTTATGCAACTCCATAGTGCCTTTTTGCACTTGCTCTCGGACGTAATGCCACCGCAATTCAATGTGGCGCGTACGTCTGCTGTAGGTGGGATTAGTTGCCATCACGTGAGCAGCTTGACTGTCAATTCCAACACGCAAGTTCACATTGTGTTGCGGTAAAATCTCTTGCAAAACATTTTTCCCAGCAACTACCTCCATTGTGGCTTCACACGCGGCAATGTACCCCGCCTCCGCGGTCGACTAAGCGATGACGGATTGTCTTCGTGACATCCATGCTACAGCTCCGCCTGCCAGCGTAAACACGAAACCAGTAGTGCTCTTCCTTTGATCTGGGTCATTAGCCCAATCACTGTCACAGTAAACCTGCAACACCAACTCCTTCGAGTTGTTCTTCTTTTTCTCGTACTTGATTCCATAGTCCAAAGTCCCGGCCAAGTAGCGCAGCACTCTCTTTACCGTTCCAATATGCTTCGCCGATGGGTTCGCTACGAAGCGACTCAGTTGACCTAATGAATAAGCCAAATCCGGTCTGGTACTTGTAGCCAGGTACATGAGCATACCAATGGCCTCACGGTACGGAAAGCTGCTGTTTGCACTCTCCTTCTCTCCGAGAGGTGTGAGCCGTGAATTTACTTCCATTGGATTCCTTACTGCATATGCTTTTCAAATCCTAGCTTGCTAAGAATCTCTCTTGCGTACTTGCCTTGACTGATCATAATGTACTCTGGCGTGGGAGTCACTTCCAAACCTAAGTATTGTGTCAACAGCCCTTGGTCCTTGAGACCGTACGTGTTGTCCAAGTCCGATCCTTGTACTCCTTGTTGTTTGTTGCAACCAAAATATCGTCGACGTATACTAGCGCGTATCCTATCGTGCCACCATCAAACAGGTAGCACAGGCACGGCTCCGTCGACGATCTCTGGTATCCACGCTGGATGAACCAATCATTGAGCTCTGAATTCCATTCTCGACCCGATTGTCTTAATCCATACAAAGCCTTGAGTACCACGTAAGAATGCCCACTCACTCTGCACGGATATCCGTTGATGGAGTATAGATATTGTCGTATGTCTAGCCATGCATTGAGGTAAGCGGTATTCACATCTCCTCCGTATACCTCTAATTCCAGTAATGCCGCCAGTCTCAACGACAGTCTAAACGAAGCCATTCTTGCCACAGGGGCGATCGTTTCCTTCAAGTCAATGCCTGGTCGCTGGTAATTCCCGATGCCACTATGCGAGCCTTGAATCGTATCACATATCCCTGATGATCAGACTTCAAGGCATAGACTTACATTGTACTCACAGGCTTCGCATCTTCAGGAATGTCCTCATCCGGAATTTCTTGGATGGCCTTTTTTGCCTTCAGTACAGCGATCTCTATCATCTCTGCTTCCAGCCAATAGTTAGCAAACCTGGATCGTAGTGCCTTACGTCTGTTACGAGGAATCTTCACCTCGCAAGCACGAATAGGCCGTCCATTCTCGTCCAGAACCCTTGACGTCGTTGTATTCATCACAAAGTCATCAAAGCGTCGAGGTCGACATCTTTCGTGTACCTCTCGAGAGTCCTGTTCGAGTTCGCTTGGTATCTTGCTTAGCGGCCTCGTGTTCAACACGGGCTTCTTCGACTGAGTTTCATCGCGGTGTGTACGGTTTCAGTTTCTCGAATGACAACTGGATCAAAACAAACACTAGCGCCCATCGTCTGCGCGTTATCATTGTCCACAACCGCACTTTGATGCTCATTCAATTTGTCTTCCAACACATCAGTACTCTCCGGGTCTTCTTCAAGCCCCACACCACTTGACGAGTTGTTATTCTCCATTGAGATAGTCTTCTCTCTAATTGAGAACACACTTGCTACAGTAATGTCGTCGTCTGTCGGTAATCCTGCTTCATCGTCATCCACCTCGTTACCATCCAGCGATGAGCCCCGTATTCCCGCCACAAACTCAACGTCAGTACCATCATTTTGCGTAGAAAGCCAGGAATCCGACTGCTTGCCATCAACACAGAGATCTCCTGAATTACTTGCCTCATTTTCACTCCCCGGAATACTAGTACTAAGATTACATGCTCTCGAAGCTGCATCAGTGAGTGATACTCCGCCATGACCTCACTCTCGTCTAGAGCCGCTCTACCAAGCTCTCTCGTGCTTTTAATCACATCTGGTCGATTATCTGGAGCATTTGAGACAGTGTCTGTCAGCCGAACGCCCTTCTCGAGCTCAATTGTAGCCGCTACATCGACCTCGCCTCCCACGGGTCCAATAGACAACTCAGAATTTAACTCGCTAACCATCTCCAGTGTCTTGGATGTAGCCATTTCGTAGTTCAAACTGTTGTCATAGTCCACATCCTGGTCATCACGTCGGGTAAAGTGCAGCGACGCGAGGTCCTCCTCATCTACAGCACCTTCGGGACGGTCTTTGTAAGCTACATCTCAGCAACCCGTAGATATGACACAAACTTGGCGGTGTGCTCATCGGGAAAGTAAACTTTGCAGCCTACCACGTCCTCTTCGTAACCGAGTAGAAAGCCAATCTTGGTATTGTTGTCATGCTTACGTCTTCCAGACGTCACAGGAACATGGACATATGCCAGAGATCCAAACTTCCTAGTGTGATGCACGTCAGGTTTCATTCCAAATATCATCTCGTAAGGTATCCTTTGAGTGCCACGGTTGTATACCCTATTCTTGACGTATACAGCATTTCGTAGGGCTTCCGCTATACATCATTTCGTAGTGCTTCCGGCCATAGACTCCGAGGAAAGCCTGCATGTACCATCGTGGTCTTCATCATGTCCACCAATGACTGATGCGTTTGTTCGCACAAGTTCAATTGAGAGCTTTTTGGACCCACTCAATTCCTCTCCGTGCGTACCAGTTTCCCATACCTTTGTTGTGACGGGGTCACACAGCACCTTGCGCTAGAGGAAGTTAGCTTCCGAGAGTATACAAACTCACAGTGAGCGGCAGTTCACAGGTCCCCTCTTTATCAAAAGGGAGCGAAGTGACCTATTTAAGGTAGAATATAAACTGAGTATATTTATAGGTAGATCAAGCTGGGTTTAATACAAACTATAAGTCACATATAGAAAAGCAATGTCATCAGCCAACGGTTGGCTTTGGACGACCTTGGT